TGACGGAGTAGATTAAATGTACAGTGTGCAACTATAGTGAACGATAAGTAAACAGATAATGTTTGTTCATCAACGATGCATCGTTGAATCTATTAGAGTGCTTCAGCGATATCACGAAAAATTGATAAAAGAATGAATTGAATTGGCGGGGGTAAGAGGCGGAAATAATTCAATTTTTAGTAATAAGAAAAACGATGTTGGATAAATTTGAAATAATTAATTTATTTCAAATATAAATTAAAAATAATAAAATTTATAATTATTGTCTTTCCTTTACTTTGACATCACAAAAAAGTGTTAAAAGGATGAAGAAAAAACGGAATTTCACTACATTTGCAACAAAAATTTAATAAAATTTTTTGGATTCAAATAATTTTGATATTAATAAAATAATAGAAGAAAAGCAGGTAAAAGTAAAGAATGTAATTAGTTAAGAATTTTTTGTATGTCAAAATTTAAACTTTCGCATTTTGTTTATTCCCAAAATTACACCTACAATATCATAAATTATTAATTATACCTGCCTTAATTAGTATTAATTTCGAAATTATCACAAAACAATATTAATTATTATTTTGCATTTTAATAATAGGAAAAAGACGTATATATGTATATATGTTAACCTTGGATAGATAAAAAGAAGGAAAGAAATTCTGAGAAATGAAAAATTTAAAATATTTCTTTTAAAACTTATTCTTGCAAAATTTTTGAAAATGATTTATGAGAAAATGAAATATTATAATTGTAATATTTTATAGTACATATGTATGTATGTGATAGTATGATATTGGTGATGAATGAAAAATGTTGAAAAAAGCTTTCTTGTAAAATTGAAATAAAGCAAAAAAATGAATCATTCAAAGGATGAATGATTTTTCTAAAAAGCAGAAAACGAATAGTACCAGCCTTTGCAAATGAATGAATTTAATAATAAAATGAAATGATTCAAGAAATGAACATTTTCTAAATTCCTCTTTAATTTTCTCGATCAGAATTGATAAATTCTACTATCAGATGCTAAAATTATTATTTTATTTAAACAATAATAATAACAATGATAAAAATAAATATAATTCTGAAATTATTATTTTATCTTTATTTTTAGTATAACTTCTAAAATAATTATTTTATCTCTATCTTTATTATATCTTCTAAAAATATTTTGTCTAATTTTAGTGTACCTTCTTAAATTGCTATTCTATCTTTACCATTACATTGCTATTCTATCTTTACCATTACATTGCTATTCTATCTTTACCGTTTACTATTCTATCTTTACCCTTCTAAAATTATTATTTTATCTTTATCTTTAATATACCTTCTAAAATTATTTCATCTAAAATAATAACAATAACAATAGTGATAATGATAACCCATATCACCGGAAATACTTTTAATCAATAAATCTTTAAGTTAAAATTTTAATTATAAAATTGGTGCAATAAAATTTCAATAAGAATAATCGATAATGAATTGTAGGAGAAAAAAATAAATAATATAGTTAGAGCTAAACAAATAGTATAACACTATAATAGTGTAAATATTTCATTTGGGTGAAGAAGTATTAAAGATTTTCTTGAAGGTCATTAATTAAGAAATGAAAAGTGACGATAGATAGGAACTACAATTTTGCCCGATAATAAGAAGAATGTTGAAATTTGTTGATTGAATTTACAAAATGTTTCTTAAAATGAAAAATTGAATAAATTTATTTCATCATACAAAGGAATGAATGGATCATTAATGATATTACGAATGTAATTTTTAAATATTGTCATTGTCAAATACATTAAAATATGTCAAATGAAGAATTCAATGACAAATTTGACATATATAATGAAATTTTCGTTGATCGTTTTTCTTCTTTTGTATTTTATACGATAATATGAAAAAATTTTTGAATAATGATTTATTGACAAAAATATGAAATTAATAAAGAAAGCAAAAGATTCCATTATGAATAATATTTATTTATTCGTTATCATTTCTTTGTTTTTGCAAATTAAACAGCTAATGCTTAATTTAAATTTTAATCATTTTTCATGAATACATTTAGTTAATCTTGGAATAATGATTTATTGACAAAAATATGAAATTAATAAAGAAAGCAAAAGATTTTATTATGAATAATATTTATTTGTTATCATTCTTTTGTTTTTGCAAATTAAACAGCTAATGCTTAATTTAAATTTTTATTATTTTTCTTGAATACATTTAATTTATCTTAGTATTAGAAAAAATTTTTAACCTTTTGCATCTTCACCTTCCTGTCACAATCATTCATTTTCGTTCTTACTGAATTCATTCCATTGGCAATTCGTTAAAATGAAAAATAAAATTAATGAAATTTTGCTGAATTAGAAATGCGGAAGTAGTCGAAATATTACTTCCGAATAGAAAGAGAATAATGAAATGAATGAAGTAATGATAATATTGCTTTAAAACAGAAATGGAATAACGAAAATATTATATCGAATATGGACGAATAATGGAAATATTACTTTTAAATAGAAATGGAATAATGAAAATATTGCATTAAAATAGAAATAGAATAATTAAAATATTATATTAAATGTGAATGAAATAATGAAAATGTTGCTTTAAAATAGAAATGGAATAATGGAAATATTGTATTAGAATTGAAATTGGTTACGTCGAGAAATTGATCCATATGAAAAATGAATGTAGAAAAAAAGAACGAAGAGATCATTAATATTAAATTATGATGTTACACTAAATTAAGATGAAAACTATCTATTTCCGATATGTATAATTTCAATTTCCGACATGTGTAATTTCCATTTCCGATATGTATAATTTTTATTTCCGATATGTATAATTTTTATTTCCGATATGTGTTACGTAAAAAAAAAGAATACGATTGAAAATTCGTAAATTTCTAGCCAAAATTTATATTTTCTACTTGAAATTTTCAAATTTATGAAGCTTAAATATATATTTATTTAATGGCAGAATTTCATTCGTACTGAAATAATTGAAATAAAAAGAATTGATCAATGGAGTAGTAAATGAAATATATTGTGACATTATTTGTTTTGTGTAAAATCATTTCCTGTTGCTGATCCCACGGTATATGATCATTTTATGGTATCTCTCAATAACATGAATACATTCGATTACTCAACAAACCAATAATAAAGTGATAATTTAATCAATGCTAAAAAGTCAACTAAAATAAATAACGTAAATTTTTATGGAAAAAAAAATGTCGAAATTTATTTGGTATCATTTTATGAAGAGAAAAATTACAGAAAGAATGAAATGAAGGTTAGTTCAATCTTTATACCTTTTAATACTTTTCAGGTGTTTAATTAAAAAGAATTGAAAATTCAAAGTATAATTAGGGGATAGAATAAAAGTGAAAATAAGTGATTAATGATTGAATTAGAATTAGTTAATTTAATCATTTGCACAAATAAATGAATAATAGTTGTGCATTCTTAGCAACTTCATTCTTTTCTTTCTCTCATTTAATATTTTATATTATATATCGAATTTCTATTAAGAATAATAAATATAAGATGTGGTCAAGTGAGTATTTGTATGATTTATTGAAATGAAAACCAGTTTCATTAAGCGGTTATAAAATGGAAAGATTTGAAGGTTGAAATAAGAAAAGAGAAGGGAAGAAATTTTAATCTATTACAGCTCTAGCATAATCAACAATGGTTTTCGTCTTTCCAATAATCCACTAATCCTTACCTTTACCTTTACCTAAAAATATCCAAAGAATATATGTCGAAATGATAATTATATACTACAGTAACATGCAATCCGATTATTCAATAGAATCGAAATTTGATTCAATTTGTACAGTTCGACGATAATCATTCGAACCAATTATAAATTGTTTGCATATTTTATGATTCAACAACTAAATTGAAATTTTTGCTGACAATTAGATAAAAGAGGAAAAAATTCAGTCAAATTGATATTTTCCGGATATGGCAATATTTATTCGGAGAATGTTATTGAAAATGAATTATATAGCAAATGATTTATTTCAAAACATTATTAATTGTGTTACTTAATTAATGAAATTAATAAATTTACTTTTATTCATTCTTATTTTGATTGTAAATATATTTTAATTAGTTAAATATTTATGATAAAATATGAATATTAATTATTTATCGATTACTTGTAATCTAATACTTTTATTAAATTAATTAATATTTCAATTCAACTCAGACTATTAGAAGACTGAAAAGCAATGTTAATCGCTCATTTTTTTTTTGTAAATGATAAAATTGATTGCTAGTATCACTAATATGATAATAGAAATGATTTCCAATCAGAAAGCCTGAAGCTTTTTCTGAGCCTAAAATTTTGTATCAGAAAATGAAACCGTTGATTTGTTCGCCTTTTAAATTTTATTTTTTTCTTCTTTATACTCTAAAATTTTATATCAAAAAATTAAATCGATGATTTATAACGATTTATAACGATAAATATAACGATATTTATAACGATAAAGCCGATGATTTGTAATGATTTTTTTAATGATGAAAAATTTAGTAATTTATAATCGATAAATATAATCGATTTATAATTGATTTATAATGATTTATAATCGTTTTATTTATCAATGATTCTTATTTTCTTTTTTCATAAGCTTAAAATTTTATGTAAGCTAAGAAAATTTTGCCAATTTGAAATTCATTTATTTCTCTTTTAAAATTTCAATTTTTTTTCCATTAATTTGAAATTTCAAATCAGAAAGAGAAATTGCAAAGTTGTAATTTCGGTAGAGATCAAACGCATACAATTATATAGATAAATTTATCCATTTATACTACCAGCGATAGCATTCATATAGCAAAGATTTCTGCCCGAAAATATTGATATCATAGTAATTAAAGAGTGAAGAGTGAAGGTTAAAAAGGTAAAGGTAATAAAACCGGATTACAGAAAGCGGAAAAAGGGGCAAACAATTAGGGGAAAATGAAAGGAAAAGGGAAATTTCATTTACTGTATAATTAATAAATATTCCATTGGCTTAAATCATTAGCATTATAATATGATTTAATATAATGCTGCTTTGATGCAATCATTGTGCTAGTAGTATCTTTTCCTCCATCAGTTTCAGTCTTAGAAGTATATGAATTCGGAAAATTTCCTTCATTTGCCGAAATTCCTGCTTTATTACTTTCAATTGAATACGGAAATTCCTCATTAATATTGCCATATTGTTCAACCTGAAATACAAAAAGAAGATGTAAGTTAATTTCCCTTAATGATCTCTTTTAAAATACCGGAAATAACATAAAGTACAGAATTGGCATGGAAAGTAAGGAATTATGAATGATATGAAATTAACTGACATTAAAAGCATATTCCGATTCAATTGTAGTGACATCAAAGTTATACGTTGTATACGCCTCCGATGTATTATCAAATGTCTGTGCATCGTTCTGATCGGAAAATTGCTGAGAATTTATAATATTTTTATATGGTTCTTTTGTTTCCGGTATTTTATATTCCGTATCTTCGTCTTGTTCCGCAATTGGCTCTTCAATTACTGAAAAATCATATTTATATATGACAACTTAATGAAATAACTATATTGAAATAACTATTATAACTATATTGAAATTATACATTATAACTATATTAATAACTAAATTGAAATAAATATTGAAATAGCTTAATGGCGTTCAAAAAGTTTAGCAATAAAACTAAATGATATGATATAACAAAGATAGCAGTAATTTGAAGTGATTAAATTTCATTCATTAAATTCGATTATATAGTTATAATAAACTTCCATTTCACAATTTCAATGTGTGAAAATATCTACGTGAAAATAAGTGAAAATATCTACGTATAATAAATTTGCTGATAAGTTTACAAATGATTAATGAGATGAAAAAATAAATTGGTTTATTACCATATTTTTCAAATTTTGGTGGACGAATATTATAATGATTTTTCTGGCCTTTAATATTAGAAAAATTATACAAATTAGGCATACCAATATAGGCACTTTCTGCCTGAAATAATTAACAAAAATTAAATGCAAGATATTCATTAATAAAAATTATAAGTATATTTATAAATTTGATAAGTCGAATTTTACTGGTAGCATTTGTATCTGTCGAAATGGCATCATTTCATTTGAATCATTATCATCTACAATTGTTGCAAAATTATTCACCTGTAAATTTGCGATATTAAAATTATTCGACTAAGAAAAACTTTTTATCATTTTATTTTCTACTCTTTTCTTTTCATTTTCTTCTCTCTCCATCTATCTAATCAATCAACAATTGTTGTGATAAAACATGAAGTGAAATATTATTTAAAGAATATCAATTAATCAGAATTTAATATGGAATAGATTTTGGAACTTAAGAAATGAATAAAACTTACAATAAACAAAAATAAAGGTAATCAGGATATTAATAATAGCAAAATTTTCCCCTTCTAATGTATAAAAATTTACCTAATTCGAAAAATAGATAAAAATAATTGTGATATTAAATCATTATCTTAAATCTTAAATCCTAAATTTCCTAAATTATACATTTGCATGATTTAAGATAAGTTACAATTACAGTGATAAAACTACTTGTTATCATTAATTCTTATTATTATTATCATTACTATTATCAATTCCTTCATTATCATTAATTTAAAATGATTTAGAATGAATCTCGAAAAAAAATCTAAAATGTTAATAAAAGCTTGTTAACTTGATATGGAAAATTTGAAATTATTTAATTTGCATACTTGCACATTGTGATAATTAAACTTATCCATTCCATCATTGTCTTCCTTAATTTGCCAATTGCCATTAATAATGCCATAATTCTTTAAAAAGCGAAAAAATGAAAGATAAAAATTGCTCAACTACAATTTGGAAAAAGCAAATAAAATGATTAAATAATTTCCTCTTTTCATTTTTTTATTTTTAGGAATTTTTAAAAGAAATTTTAAAGAATTAGAAAAAACAAAAGAACTGAAATAATAATATACATTATTGAGCGTTGGTTTCGCATACATCGATATAATATTTCGTTCTGCTACGTTTTTTGCATTTTCATTTGTAATTTCATCCTGTAATTAATTTTTGCTTTATTTCATCCTGTAATTAATTTTTGTATTATTTCATCCTGTAATTAACAAAATATTTAAAAGAAAGCGAAAAAGAAATTGGGTGGAATAAAGAACGGATAGCAAAAAAAGAGGAAAATGCAAATGATCGTAGAAAGTTTTGAATTTTTCATATAAAATTAAACGATGATGTAATTTTGCAGAAAATCAAATTTTGTTGAAATTTTAATTTTATTTTTTGAAAATTAAATTATATTTGTTGTAAAGTTGAATTTATATTCAAAAATTTTGAATGATTAATTTTTAAACGGATATTTTCTATTCTTATCATTGACACATTACATTTTAAGTGTTAAGTGATAATTACATGATAATCTCAATTTTCCATTCGCTTTGATGATTAATTTTTGTAAAAGAAAATGAATTGTTAGAAATGAGAAGTTTATTATTATTGTTTAAGGAAAAAGAAACAAAATGAAGCTATTTTACTCGAATAGTTAATTTATTTCCAGTTTTATCGGTATGATTCATTCCTAAATTAGAAATAAACATGTCTGAGTCATCTGGGATGCACATTTTTGAATAATTATTCGATCGGATATCAACTGCAATCGGATTTGTTGCATTTTTCATTGAATCTATCATTAATTCCTAGAAATATTTTAATTTTCTAGAAAATTATTTAATCATTAAAATATTATTAATATATAATGAAAGTATATTTAATTGTTATATAAAGCAGAAATTTTAAAATATTTATTAAAACGAAAACTCTATAAAAGTAATATTTTAAATACAATAGTAAATTAGTTGTAATCATTAGTTTTACTACAACAAATTTGTTCCAATTTTATGGCACACCTTTTGCGTAATTTCTCTCGCTGTTTTGATATTGTTATCGCAATCCTCAGCGGCCATCAAATATATACTATTGCCATTTAAACCCGGTTTACGATCAAACCCGAAGTAGCAACTTGATGTCATCGTTACATGAAGCAACTAATCCAACCAAATCTAAAATTCTCTAAATTTATACACTTTTTTTCCACCTTATTAAATTTTAATTATTTGATGCATTTTTTAATATGTAAATTTTAACTATATAAAACTATTTGCATAATTGTAAACATATATATATATATAACTGCATACTTGTGATAATTTTAAGCTTGTAATTTACATATATATATTTGCATACTTATGATAATTTTGGCAGTTTTTATCTTGATCAAAATTTTTAAATTATTTTTATTACAGTAATTATTAGCGCTAATATTTCATCTTCAAAATTATTTATCAAAAGTATATGGAATTTGAATTATTTGAAAGAAAGAATAAATTTTTCAAACTAATTAGGTAATTAATGATTATATTCATTTTCAATTAAATAAATTTTTTTTCATCCGCTACATGAATCCATTTCTTCATAGATTCATTAGAATCCATTACTCAATGAATTTCTTAGAATCTATCCCATTCGTAGAATCCTCACAATATATATTATTCCTTGATTCCCCAGCATCCAATAATCATGAATTTTTAAGAATGCGCTACTTATAATTACATAAAATTTATTACTTTCAGATTCTACGAAATTCTTCACTCACATAGAATCCATTATTAATTTAACAAATTCTTTCAGTTATTTTATCATTTAATGATAGCAAAAAGTTAGAGTTCTTCACACCTTAAAAATGTTACCTTAAAAATTATTAATATTATTATTTGATAAATGAAAATCAATTATCAGTGATGAAAATTTGATAGAAAAATATTTAGTTAATGAAAAAAATTTATTTAATTGATAGAAATAAGGAAATCGTATTAAATAGTGTTTATTTTTTAATATTTAATAATAACAATTATTATTAATAATCAATAAACTTACAGATATTACTTTAATTTATGATATGATATTAAAGTTTAGCAAAAGACAGGCCTTAGTGATATTGAATTTAATATATGATATGATATCGCTCTTGTCATGTTTATTAATAACGTGAAATCAGACTATTAGCAAAAAAGACAGGCCTTAGTGATATTGAATTTAATATATGATATGATAAGAGCGATCATGTTTATTAATAGCGTGAAATCAGACTATTAGCAAAAAAGACAGGCCTTAGTGATATTGAATTTAATATATGATATGATATCGCTCTTGTCATGTTCATTAATAACGTGAAATTAAACTATCGGAAATTTTTAATTTCACAGAAAATAACAACAACCGATAAAATCTTTATTGGAAATGTTCCATTGAATTATATATTTTATTTTTGCAATTATTTTTTTTTACTCATTCATTACGAATTACAATCAGTAAAATATCGATCGCTTTATATGATTATTTTTGATAAATTAATTTTCGATCAATTTTATTTCCTTATTTCTTCCAATACATTTGGATCATTTTTCCACTCCTCATATCATATCGATCTGAAAACTTATTTAATGCATAACTATTATGCAAATTATTTAACAACATGACTAAGCAATTATATTTCATATCGTTGATATCTATGATAAATGTAGGAATTAACAAAAAGGAGCTGTATAGGTGAAAAAGAGAAGTAGAGAAATGAAAACATTGCAAGAATTAAAATTTCAAATTAATTTTAGTTTACTTCTTGTTGTAGCCAGCATTTAAAACAATTAATAATCTATTGACATGAAAAGTTATTTCATCAACATTCTATGATTTCATATATATTCTGGAGGAGAAATAGTTGTAGTAGACAAAAAAGAGGATATTTTTAATGTTACGAAAATTTGCGAAATTTTAAGCTTCAAGAAATGTTAAAGAATTATTATTCATATTTAATGATTGATGAAACTAGGCAACTTCATTTAATCTTTTCTTATCTGAGCGATTTTGTTTAATTTACCGTCGTTTGCGGACAAATAATTCGATGGAAGGCGTTTGTCGACGTTGTTGCCGTCGAACAAACTTCGAACGACGACGACGGAGACGAGGGCTCGATTGACGAATGCGACGATACCAGTAGGGGGAAAGTGAGCGGCGGATGCGTGAATAAGAACGACGACTACGTGAACGAGGACGTGATCTGCGTGGACTTGCTCTACGTCGGCTTGATCGACGCAGTCTTGGTCGTTTGCCTTCACTGTCTGTCATCAGATACAGTCTGTATGACGTACTCGACGATGGTGTACGATAACGGCGACTACGCACGGGTGATCGTGAAATGTATCGCTTTCTTGTAACACGCGATCGACTTCCACTGCTTCGACGCGATCGACGTCCACGGCTTCGTGACCGGAAACGTGAGCGTAAGCCATGGCATGGCATCTTTGAATTTTTCCGCCTAACCTTCTTGTACAAAAAGTCCTCGTTTAGATGATACGGGTAGGTATTGATTGTATCACCTTACTAAGACCACTTCGAGACTTGAGGGAAATAATTGGGAAAAGTTAGGGAAAAGGATGAAAGAGATAGATAGTACTCGGGTAAAGGGATGGGTATGGTTGGGAAAAAGGAATTGGTACAAAATGATGTAACACTATTTGATAAACCTTTTATAGAAGATTTTCAAATTTGAATATATTGAAATTAAACAAAATTCATAATGATCTCATTAAAATGCAAAATCTTCAAATTTCAATTAATTCAAATTATATGAAATCGGAATTTTCAAGATTTTATTACTGTAAAAATGTAAAAATGATCCAACGGAAAATTAAATTTGCAAAATATCTCTTCCAAATTACTTATTAAAATTTTCAACAAAATTGAATATTTTAATGAAATATAATTATTCAATCATTTTATCCCACAGGTAATTTCAGTTTTCGAACTATTTTTTTAAACCAATCAGATTATTTACTCCCAATTTTCAAATTTTATAAAGTTAAAAAAATTCTTCTTTAAAATATTTAACTCTATGTAGTGCTTGGCAATAATGCTTCCGGAATTTCTCTTTTCAATTTTTGCATGTCTGATTATTTATATACCTGTTATTTACTCATTTATTCAATTCAGAATTCAGGTATAGAATTTCTCTTCATAATTTACCTATTTATGGAATCTACTCATCTCCTTGTTTTCTTTTCCACTTCAATTTACCAATTTATTTTTTTGTTTTATTTTTTCCCACTTAAATTTATCAATTTATTGATTTGTTTACTTTACTTATTGTTTATTGTTATTGTTTTGTTTACTCAATCATTGTACATATTTACGAGGAGTGTGCAATATATATGAAAATTTGATTTAATCATATTTTGCTCCAATCAACAAAATAACATTTAATTTTCCGGCATAAAAATGATAACAACAACAAAAATGAATTTAATGAGAATGTATGATACTTAATTTTAAACATACATATATCGAAATATATAAATTTAACTGTTAAGCTGCTGATTCATTGTTAGCAATAATCAAAATTGAAATGAGGATTTTCAATTTTAAACATATCCGTGTTTCTTTAAGTCTTTAAGTTCGATGCTTTAAAGCAAACAAATACTTAAATGGCACAAATATTATACTTACAAATGTAACAAAGCTATTTTAGATAGTGAAGCATGCATTTTGACATATTTTTGATTCTAAATCTTTCAGGTATAAGACAACCAAACAATTAATGAAATTAATTATAAAAGGAAGATGAAACAATGAGGGAATTTACCTTGCAATAGTTAGATAAGAGAACTATTTTACATTTATTTAAATTCATCAGTTTAATTATAATGATATATTTGATTAATTATGAATAGTCTATTAAATATATTCCATTTTAAATGGATAATTTTGAAAAATCAAAATTTAATTTTCTAATTCAAATTAGATTATAATTAAAATTAGTAAATCAATCTTTCCGGTTCCTTGAAAATATTCATATTTCTGGTGGATCATGAAAACGATATACCTTTAACCGTAGAGAGCAAAAAACAATAAAAATTTAGAGGCAGTGCAATATTAGAGAGGATAAATAAGAAACAGTAGCGAATGAAAGAGAAAACTGAAGGAATGAATAATTGATAATAAGAAAAATCTAAAGAAATTCATTCAAATGAATTAATATTATAAAAATATTAAATTTAAATGATTGAACTTAAATTTAAATGGTTGAACATTTATCATACAAATATTACTGTTGAAGATATAATATATAAGATATAGATATAATAAATAATATAATATAATAAATTGCCTTTTAAGTATAATAAAACTTTTATTATTCAATATAATTTCTTTAAAAAGAACAAAAAATTTTTTTTTTAAAGACAAATCACAGTGAAATGAAAAATAAAAATTTTTGCATCACAATTACAATTAAATAAAATTAAAATTGATTACTATGAAACAATAAATTTTTTAAAATTATTATCATTTTGTATTTAATATGTAATTCTATCAATAAAAATTAATATTTGATTTATAAATTTAAGAAATTAATTTGTTTCAAATTTATTGGTACTGTCTGTGTCATAATGAGAACATTATATAGAGCGTTAAATTTTAACTGAAAAATTTAGAAAAGACTTTATGTATTAATCGTTTGAATTATAATTTGTTTCTGTTGATATTATCATCAGATGATAGTAACTGATAATAATAACTAAAAAATTTAAAAAAGACTTTGGTATTAATCATTTGAACCATTAATAATTTGTTTTTTTGATATTATCATCAGGTAAAATTTAACTGATAATAACAGTGATAACAACAACATTTGCAATATAATAATATACACCAAAGGCTACTTTTTAAGTTATTATTTTCATAAAATAGCACAAAAAAATGATGAAAAACCCGTATTAGATTTGAGAAATAAAAGGAAATAGAAAATGAAAAAATTTATATAAATATAAGACATATATTAGCAATGAATTCATTTGATTAAAATATTTTAGGAAAAGTAAAAAATATTAGAAAGAAATGAATAATCGAAGGAAATTATCATTTCATATTTAAGACATTTGATATGGATTATCATAAGTGGCTAGAAATTCAAGAGCAGCCTGATAACAGAAGTGATATTGTTCCTTATCCTGAACCATATTTTGACGTTCGGTTCGGAGTAATTTCACTGTAGTAAATACATCGATTACATGTTCTAACTTCATCCGATCAATAATTACACTAAGCGCAATAAAAACTCCGGTACGTCCAGCGCCTGTTGAACAATGCACTGTAATTGGACCATCTACACCGAATTGTGTTTTCGTCCGATGTACCTCAAATTTTACGTGAATAATAATTATTCTTTAAATAACAGAAACTATAGTTGCTAGACAAATAAAGCTTGTTAAACATTTGTTCTTCTAATGAGGACCTATAACTGTTAAACAAATAAGGTGTATTAAATGTGTTTTTCAAGAACAGAAGTTACATTTGCTAGACAAATAAGCTATACTTGTAGGAAGAAAATTGAAATCAAAACAAAAGAAATATTTGCATAACAAATAATTATACAACGACTCGATTTTTTGGAGACTTTTAAGATGAAATTTGCAAAAAAGATACTTGGTGAATAAAATCGATGAAAAGCTCGGCAGATTTTGGCGGACAATGGTCAGGCCATTCAACATATTGAAAATGCCTTAGTGTTTTTGTTTGACCGGACTAAAATTTTGTCAAATTAAATGATATCTTATACACTTTGGTTTACAAAATAAATTAAATTAATTAAGCTATCAAATAATTAATAATAATGAAAAAGAATGAAAATTTTAGTGCAACTCATAGTATATATAATTCCAATATAGAAATAAAATAGCATCGCATCAAGCGTTTTGTCATATTTACTTGACTAAATTGATGGCAATATGAATTGTGTAAATTTAAAATTTGAAAATAGGAGTAATTTGAAGAATGATACTTTGATAATTTACAAAACATACCTCAGTATCAGTAATCCTAAATTCACGTAATACATATTGAGACATATTATATTCAGCAATCGGTTCCACCACCAAATATCCAAACTGTGCACCTAATTCAGCTGGCCAATACTCGTGACATTTATCCTGTAATGAATAAAAATTAACATGTCCATTTATCATTTATTATAATTGTTATTATTCGTTATTAGTAATATTTATTACTATCATCACTGTTATTACTTATTAATATCATATTTATTATTATTTGTTATTTAATATGAAAAGCTGACCCTAGAAATTTCAGTAGTACGAACAAGCATAACGATAATAGACGATTCATGCTCCCAAATCATTCGCCAGAAATCATTCACCGTATGAGGCATTGGACTTTGTGTTGCGATGTAAGCACCACGCTGCCTGAATTTGTATTTTCCATCATCAGTGAATAGAAATTAAAATATATGATATAGCAATATAATATAATAATTAGTAATTGAGGTGTAAAATAAAAAATAAAGATTATAATAATTAAAATATCTTAGAATCACATTAATTAATAATTGAAAAAATATAAGAAAAAATATTTGAATATTGTAAAAGATAAAACTATTTGGATAATATAATAATTAGAATACATGAATGGTGCAAGAATTAATAACTGAAAAGGCTTTATTAAAAAGGAAGAGTGAAAAATGAATAAGGAAGAAGTAAATATATACCTGTAACCATCAATCCAGGAAGCATTGATGTAATTGGATCCTTCCTCACCCGGAATTGGGCGCAAAATGACACGTGATGAGTCGTACGGCACCATATTAATTACACGATTTTTAGGTCGATTTATTGATAAATTTGCAACACTGCATCGAGAATTTGACATTTTCATTGTTGCCAAATGCTACAAAATGAAGTGAGAAATTTCCACTTTTATGTTTTAAAGGTTAAATAAAAATTAATCTACATATTAATTTAATTAGGAGAATAATCACTACCGCAAATCATTGCAAATTTTCGATCAGCAAAAAAATGAATGCTAAAATTTCAATTCTTACATTTCAGATTTAAGTTAGAAAATCCCCAAAAAAAAGATATTTATTTATTCGTTGAAAATTAGTTGTTGAAAATGTTATTAAAAAAAATTTCCTTTTCTGTTCTTATAAAAATTTAAATTGCAAAAAAATATTTTTTAAAGACTATTAGAAAGAGTGAAATGATTAATATAGTATGAAAGAGAAAATGTACCCTAAATTCAAGTTCCATAGCTGAAACTTGATCAATCGGTTGAATTTGCATTAAAGCTTGTACATGAGTGTATAACTTGCTAGCAGGCACTTCTGTTGAACCGGATTGTACCGCATCCAGTACCGCATCATGAATAAAAATATATTGATCATCGGTCTAAAAATTTTTCATAATTCAAAAATATTAAATATAATTTGTAAAATGGAATATGAAAATTTT